GTGGGAGCGGTGGGGGCGGTGGGGGCGGTGGGGGCGGTGAGGGCAGTGGGGCGGCGGGAGCCTTGACATGTTGATTTTCATAGCCGCAACGAGGATACCAGTCAAGTGAAGGAGGGGCAAAGGGTCTTCACTGACGCCGACCCCCGCTTCGGGGTCGGCGGATATATATATATATATATATATGTGTGTATATATACATATATATATCACGGCATGTCGTATAGCATTCCCGTCTCCCGTTGGCTAGTTGAAACCAAAGCCAGACCTGTTTCGAGGTAGAGGGCCACCAGGTCACAGCCGGCGATGCTTCACTTACTGCAGCGGAGCGCCTGGAGGTGCCGACAATGCAAGACCTAGTCTAAACTCCTAGCATTCCACAAAATATCCTCTATAAGATCGCCAGGTAAGCCCCTTTAAGGAGTTTCGACTATAGCTCATGTATTTACAAAGGTGAGCTGGTTCTCGGCTGGCATCGGGCCAACAAGGAATTGCGCGTCAACCAAAAAGATTCCTGCAGGTTCCGGTGCGGAATGAACGTTTGGGCACCAAAAATCCCTCATGTTTTTTGCATTCTGCTTGTTTTCCTTTGAGGTGACCACAATCAGAAAGGGAGTAGCCTCAAACAGTGCAGGTCATGACTTCGCTGGTCCGGGCATACGCGCACGGATTGTTTGTCTCGGGACATTTCAATGGCGACCCTCACGTGGCTCGATTCCATTGAGACTTGAACTCGTGGGGCATGCACGGTTCATGGTGACATGCAGCAGTGTGCCCTGTGCTGGAAAGCATTGAGGCGGGAAATTTGCTTGTGACACGCAGAAATGGAAAGGCGGGCTGCTGCTAGTTGAGCTTACCAAGCCTGACGCGGATCGATGATGTCAGTTGTTTGACCGCCTCAAGCTTGGCATGTTTGACCAGGCCCAGTGTGTGCTCTTGGCAGCCTGGCTTGAAAAATCAACTGCCGGGTGGGATCATGGTGAAAGCCAGGAGAAGGCATGTGCCTCTTGCCACGCTTTTGCTTCAAGGACTGGGGCCTGACCAAAGAGCTGACTAATCAACGCCGACTTGCAGCCTGCACCGTGGCAGACCAAAGTTGAAATCTACTTTCCGCTTGGCCCAAAAGCTCCTGAAACTGCATTGTGAGATTACCTTGATACTGTAGCAGCAGACAGAGATCCTAAGCCACCTCGACATCAGGCAAGCTCATCGTGGCAGTGGGCATGAAGGCGCTTTGGCACCATATACTGTAGCCTTGTCTCACAAATCGGCCTTCATTTGGTCTCCAAACGCTCCACGTTTTATGATCGGAGTCCCAGGATACCAACGGCATCGTGGAGGCCTTCAGGGAGATGGGCATCTTGTCAAAAGGGATTCACAGTTTGGCCATGCATTTCCTTGCCACGCAGAGCCTTGGGGGCCACGTCCTGAGCAAGCCACAAGGCATGAACTTCTCGGCAAATGCAGACCCTGAGCCAGAGCTCCTCCTGGCCATCCTGCGGCACATCAGCTTGATTGAGCACAAGAAGGAGTCCAGGAGGCCGTTGGCAGCCAAAACCCATCCTTTTTTCATCTTTAATTTAACTCTTATTGACATGTGAAAGCCATGATGGCTACTTCAGTTTTCATGGTGTGCGAACTGTAACTTGCGACAGGGCTGATGAAGAAACTGTTCATCATGTGGCTTGCATCAGAACAAATTAGCCATTTGTTCTCCATGGACGAGAAGGCGCATGCGCTAGCAGGATTCAAGCGAAATTCGGTCAGACGATGGAGAAGGCAATTTCCCACAAGATGGACTTGCACACCAAGGCGGGGAAATCCACCGCCTGGCAAAAATTGGATGGAAGCGCATTGCCCTCACAATCCTGCATGGCTTCCCGTATCTAGACCCCAGGACATCCACAATGTGCTACAGACTTTGTTAGGGACCCCTTTTGGGACCCCTCAAATGGAAAAACATTAGTTTGGATTACATTATGGGGATGCTCTAGTCTTGTAATACCCTGTTCCAGGTGGACAGCTACACGGGCGATTTTTTCTTTATCTTCCGCGTCGCTTCGCTTATCAAGGCCTTGCATGTTCAACGGCTTCCGTCCTAGGAATGTTTCTTGAAACCTGATATTGCAGGGTTTGGCCACGGTGCTGGATATCCGAGCCCAGCACCTTGGCTGTTGGAGCTGCTGGGTGTGTGTACACAGGCTCTGGGATGGCATGTAATCTACAAGTTTGGATTCCTGGCAATTCCTGGCAAAGCAAGAAATCAACGCAGATTGAACTCAGGGAAGTAGCAGTACAACGCAGTTCAACGCATACACGCACACTTAAACGCCCAACAAGTCGAATGAAACGGTCATGGTGACAAAGACGTCTCAACCCGAAGCCTACACTTATGATTTGAGCTTATACTTCACACAAGAATGTCAACAGCTCAGATTCTTGGAGATTTTCATCGACGTCAGCCGCGGCGTTCTTGCCGGGCCGCGCCCGCGTCCAGCGCCACCACTGACCGCAGCAGGTGTCACAGAGGCCGGGGCATAATTGTTGTACCCATGCAAGCTCATGTAAGAATACTTCATTGCAGATGCTGAGCGGGGAAGGCACGCATCGCGCGTGAAGCGCAGTTGGCTCTTCAACGTGGAGCTGTAGGCACGCTAGCCGCTAGATGGCTGATGGTTGAGCTAGATGTGCATCATGTTGCAAAGATCTCAAATCGGTGGATTGATAGTCTCATGATATGACTTGTGCTCCTCGGTTGCACAATCCAACCAGAATTTCTCTAGCTTGTGGTCAGGAACTGTGCGGTGCTGGACTCGTGCATTGTCCACTTATCTTGGTGCTCAAAGCTTCCACTCAGACATCTGAGAACATCACATGTTCCACCACATGGTTCATACGTCAGGAGGCAACAACTACTTGATACGTTCACGCCGGTCATGCAAACCATTGCTGGTACACGTAACAATTGTCTCAACGTGTTGAGCGAGAGATTGCACCGACAAATGAAGCGAAAGTATTTTTTGATGGCAGCTATGGCGTCTGAAATGTTCCATGATTAATGTTCACAAGTGCACGCTGATGTAGCTGTGAGAAACTGGGGTGACCGCGAAATTGTGAGCACGTCTTTCTGGCCTTCACGTGGCAGATTGCCTTTTGCAACCTGGAGCACGAGCTGGTGGACTTTCATGGGCATCCGAAGGTTTGGTTTCGTATCGTGCTCGTGCACGATAACGTTAATGTTGTGTTTGCTGCCAAGATCTTTGCGTTTGGCAAATTTTCTTGGCCATGCTCCAAAGCGCACACCCTCTACAATCTCCCGCGCACGAACTATATGTAGCCTGTCATGGGAGACAGCGGCAGATGTGAATGGCGTGCCACGTCCGCTGAGTTTCCTGCTGCCTCGAGGGCATCGCGCAGAACATCAGCATTATGTCTTCGCAGAGGATGAGCAAAAGCCCATTGAGTGGGAGCAACAGTGGAGGACGAGCACTACAATGGCTGGTGTGTTGGCAAGAGCAGATGGCTGGCTTTACGAATCGCAGGAAGCACGCTCCCCGCTACTTGCGCTCTGGAAACCGCGCGGGGTCATCACAACTATGGCCTCGCATGAACCCAACAATTTAAAAGAGTTGTTGGAGTTGTCATTGCCTTGCCTTGGATGGCCTGCAGACCGTCCACCACAGCCTGTCGGTCGACTTGACAAAGCAACTTCCGGGCTCCTGCTGCTGACAGACAACGGTGATGTGAGCCGAATCTTGCGTGCACCCAAGGGGATTCCTAAAACTTACATTGCAACGGCAGCTCCGACCACTCCTAGCCTTTCTTTGAGTTCGGTTCTTTTGTGGCAGGTGGTTTAGTGCTCTGGAGCATGCTTTTGAGTTGAGTTGATGCGCACATAAGGTGAACAAGGCGATCGTTTCGGATGAACAGCTTCAGCAGCTGCAGGACAGTTGCATGATGCCTTTGAGGTTTCCTATGCTCCTTTGAAGTGAGGAAGGGGGCCAATGACGAATGGTTGTGACTTCAGACCAAGAAAGCAAACATAACATTTGGAATGTCATGTCTGGGGCATGCGTGCATTCCATGAATCATTTCTCTCCATTCTTCATCCACTTCATGAAGGCGGACGGTGTACTTGCAATCCACAAATCAAAAGGCTCGAAGCCCAACCCCAAGACTCCGAACCTCCAAAGTCTCCTTGAACCCAAGCAAGACAAATCTCGATAGAACCCGAGTCCTCCCGAGAAAACTCTTCAGAAACCTGAAGCTAAAACCGCGCGCCCAAGAACCCTCTCAACCCCGCCAACATCAAGCATGAAGCGCCTTCTAGATGGCGGTACAATGCCTTGACGTGTTCCGAGTGCGAGGTGTACTGCAGCCCTTGCCTCAGGATGGCGTTGACATTGGAGAGGATCAACCTGCAGTGGCTCTCTCAGCGCAGATGGTGGGCGAGGCTACGAAAAGATCATGCTTGTTGCCAACAGGTCAGTTCTGCTGCAATAGGTGATGCATTGTTGCAAACCATTCCATCAATTCATTGAGACTTACATGGTTAGGTGCTAATAGGTGTGGACCGGCTCTTGAGCGGACTGCCAACTGGCCTTCACGAATCCCATGAAGCAACAACCTCAAGCGAACCTTGAAGAAGAGAAATTGGGTGCAGAGCCCTTGGCATCTTTTCTCCCTTCAGACCAGTCACAGCTCAAAAAACTTCAGCTCAGCTTACCCAATCCAATTTCTAACTAACCAGGAGCTGGTGTGCCGAGCACCTTTCTGCTGGCAGACAGATTTGACAGCAATGGTGAAGAAAGTGAAGATCAAGGCTCCCGCTACCTCCGGCATGGGGCTGGTTAATCAAAGAATCTCGGAGTCCTCAGCAAGTGAAAGGTTCTGACTTTTTGTTGACAGGCATTCCGGGGTTGTTGTGTTTGTAGAAGCTTCCGCGCTTGGCATACTGGCTACTGTCCATAACTTTAGGAAGCAATGTGCCCTAAGCCCTGCAGGTGGAGATTGATGAGGGTCGGTACCGCGTCGTGCGCAGGACTAGTCCGCATGGACAAGCTGCAATCTCTATGTCCTTTTCAGAGCAGTAGGACCTTTGAGAATGAAGTAGGCCATGACTTCATTCGCACAACTACCCACACAAGTTGTCTGAGACTGGTATCGATGTCATGTTGACTTGGAAAGAAAAGGCTACAGCAGCCAGCTCAGCTGTAGTCTTGTCAAGTTCTCACCAGTGCGGCTGCGAGGATGTTGAATGCCGTGGGGCTTCCGCTTCGCAGGCTTCATCGTGAGGCAATAGGTCCTTTGAGCTGCCGCACCTCGCACGCCTTGTACCATGTCATTTTTGTTATCAAGAAGTTTTTTGGGTCGACTTGATCTTGGGACGATAGAAGGTGCTAGATTTGCTGGGCATTGCCCAAGCCGGGTAGGCTGTAGACATTCTTCCAGCATGGTCCCTCAAGCGGTTCGGGTTAGCCGTCTTTTGGGAACAGCTTCTTCCTGTGTTGGCCACTTGGAGACTGTCCTTCACGTGGTACATGCTCGTAGCGCCACGAGTAAGTCTTCGGAAGCCCACTTCTGAGAGCTCAGGGTCGCTTGAACTACGGGGCGCTGGCAGGATGAGACTGGCACCCTGACTCGGCGATTACACAGGGCTACTAAGTCGATTGCAATCTCGAAATATCTGTATTCTCACCATCCCGCGATCCTGTTCCCCTCGAATTTTGCCGAGCATTTGATTTGCAGAGCTTGTGCAAGACTTGTGATGGTCTCGCAAGGGTGCAGCAGGAAGACGGCCATAGAGCTTGCACTTCAAAAGATGGCAGGACTGTAGCAAAGCTCGCGCTCATGAGCTATTTCCTGCTTTGCGAATTCAATGGGCAATTCGAGCTGTAGCATACACAGCCGCAAACAAATTCCAATGCGAGGCTTGGGGAGGCTGATCCTACCTGGATCACGAGAGAGAAAGTACGCACTTGATATCACTTGATGCTTGCTCCAAGGTGCCCCCGGGCGATGTCCTTGCACTGCTGGCCAATTCAAACTTGCCAAACAGCAGCAAGACGCGCCTTAGCTGCAGCTAAGCCCATGATGTGCACAAATCGACAGAAAATCCAACTGAAGCTTCCAGACATTTTGGAATAGTTGGTAGCTGAGCCTCGGGTAAGGTTTTAGATCTTGTTATTGGTGGCATGTCCATTCGACAACCCTACGTTCGTGGGGCTTATCAGCATGCGCAGACACTGCGGATGTGTCTGGCTCAGGAGTTACAGGGGTTGAGCTTCATGAGAGTCGGCGCTCCAGGACCACTGAAGAGGAAATCGCACGTGCAAGTTCAGAAGCGCGTCGTGCAACTAGTACGGACATGTTCAGAAGTGCGTCCATGTCACCAGGATTATAACGTTCGTGCAACTAGTACAGTACAGTCATGTTCAGAAGTGCGCCCATGTCACCGGGATAATAACGTTCGTGCATTTAGCACGGACATGCTCAGAAGTGCGTCCAGGCCCTCTCTTTATGTTTCAAACCCCAAATAGTCCTTAGCAAGCATATTTTTGCTTTCTCTTTGTGATTCAAACCCCCAATAGTCCTTAGCAAGTAGATTTTGGGCCCTCTTTTCATGCTTCAGACCCCAAGTAGTCCTTAGAAAGTAGCATTTGGGCCCTTTTTATGCTTCAAATCCCAAATAGTCCTTAACAAGTAGTGTTTGGGCCCTCCCTTTTTGCTTCACACCCCGAATCGTCCTTAGCAAGTAGTATTTGGGCCCTCTCTTCATGCTTCATACCACGAGTAGACTGTAGAGAGTTGTCGATAGTGGCTGTGGTATGCTACATCCATCATTATTAGCAGAAGTTAGATGAAGCCCCCTTGACTCTTCACACAAAGCCTATGCGTTTCAGCACCCTCAACATCATGCAACAACCATGTTTTTTCTACTCCTCCCGAAAGTTTCCTTTTCTCCACTGTCAAAATGTCGCTTTTTTTCGCTATAGCGAAACCCGTAAAATCGCACAAGAAGTTGACCCGTCTCAGTGTTTCAGCCCCTGTCCAAAAGAAGCCCTTGAAATGGAAATCTAAAAACCCATCGTTTTTGCACACTACAAATCCACGAACCACTTTTGCTAGCGAAAAATCGCAGGGGTCACGAGTAGACGTGCCACCTTGTTATCAAGTCCTCCATAATATCCCACAATCGTGTTTGCTGCAATTTCTACACTGCCTTAATCGCAAGGTGCGAAATGCCAATGGTATTCGTATTTAGGGAAAACTGAGGCGGAAACGTGGGCGAGCCATCTACAATGCCTTGCTCCTCGGCACGCCTTTTTCAGGTGATGATCAGAGCATATCAGAACAGCTTAGAACGCTGCAGGCTTCAAGGCCGGCGAGGCTTGCTTTCTTTCAGCCGTTCTAAGCTTCTGCATTCAAAAAGAAAACGAGGCGTTGCGGCAGCCTTCTTTGCAACTTGCGACGCGGAGCAGTTCCTCAGCTTGATGTTACGAGAGCAGTATGTTCTGGCCTTGGTGGCCAGCTGGGTTTGAAGTCTTTGCACATTAGCGTCAGCAATGATGCGTCATCACGTCGTTCATGGCAATTGTCTCAGATCCACACTGCCCGGGGATTATCTTGTCGCACCCTTCCCTCACTCTGCCCACCTGAACTTACCCAGCTCCTACAACAGGAAGAAAGGGTACAGAAGCACAAGGTGCAAAAGAAGGATGCGCAGCGACTGCACGAATGGCTTCAATCGAGCCTTGGTACAAGAAGGCGTTAAGGTCTCGGACAGGCTTGCCACAGACATTAATGCGCAGGGAGAAATTTAAGTAAGCACAGCATAGTGCAAAGGAATTGGACGGTGGAGGGTGCCTGCCTGGCGCCTTTTCGACATTTTTCGGGCTGCGAGGCTCTCTGCGCCTGTGAGGACTACATGCCGCTGTGATGTAGCTTTTGGTCCAGTTCCACTTCCTAGGGCCGGCATCATCATTACTTAGCGCTAGAATGCCGCATCTAACAGGGCGTCTGGCAGACAACGGCTTCTGTGAGGTCCTATCCAGTTCACTTGGCGCTGCCAGGACAAAGGCTCTTCCTGGTCCATGGCGCCTCTGAGAGCTCGCGCAAAAAAGCCCGAGCTTGGCATGGCCGTGAGGGGTAGGTTAGGCCGGTTAAGCATTGCGGGAGCATTGGCAGACGAAAACCAGGTGCAATAAATGCATGAGTGATTTTTATCCTGGAGACAGATAGTCTTCACGCGCATTGGAGGCATCCAAGTGGCCACAGTCAGCCGCGACGGTTCCACTCGTTTGAATTTGGCTTTTGGCCGGGCTCTTGGTGAAGCAGGCCTTGTGTCGCATGCGGCTGCGCTCTGTGGAAGCGAATTCCTGCTTAGTAGGGCTCATCATTTCGAGGGTCTGCAGCATGCAACAACGCAGCCGGGTGTGGCGAGAAGTCGCACAAGCTGGCAGGAGGTCTCAAGATGTCAAGCGGGGAAGCCATAGCGCAAAATTTCAACTTACGTGCTCTCCACGTCAACTGATACATTCAAAGTTGCTGCAAATGCCAGGTTCTCAAACTGCGTGCTGCTAGCCCCCATCAGACATTACAGTCCAACAGACCCCAGGCCACATTGCCTACACGTCTTGGCAGCCGATTCATCCCACCGATCCTTTTCCGTGCCTTGGTGGCGACCAACCGTTTCAGGGTTCTTGGGTTAAATCCTTAGCAGCAGCTTGAAGTCAGAGATCTTCCACCATGGAAGATGTGGCGCGCCGTCGTGCAGTCCATGGTGTGAGCGCATTGCTTGTCGGCAGCATGATTTTTGACAGCGCTAACTGATTCGCAGACGCAATTATGATATGTTGAGCTCCATCATGGCAAGCTGTACCCTTCGAATCCTTCGAACTTTTTCTCGCATCAGGTCCTGTCTCTTCAACACGTGCATATACTCTTGCGCTGAGCCGGCTTTGCCTGCACTCCAGATTCATTTCTTGCCATAGGCTTCATGCCACAGCGTTCATTGCTACGCTGATTGCAGCCTCCACTGCCAACATGCTGCGGCAAAGAGGCTCTTGAATGGGGATCGTGCAGTCACCTTGCGGAGGATACTGAAGGATGTCGGGACGTCCTGAATGTTCTCCGGTTGTGTAGCAGCTTGGGTGCTTCGCAGCTTATTAAGACTACTCTTGCAAATTCAAACCTGTTTGCGGGATGAGCCGCGTTCGGCGAACACCTCATGCCATTGCCCAAGTGATTAATTAGCTTGGAGCATGACTGATTTTATCATCCCGACTGCTGTGGCAGAAGTCTTGTTCAGCTATCTGCGCAGCATTTACGACACGAGGCACGTAAGACTTCGGGCTTTTCTTTGAGAAGTGCGCGGCTTTCAACATAGATACTTTGGCTTTAGTGAAGATTTCGATGGCAACCAGTGGCCATCTTCATATTCAGTGTTCCTGCGCGTGCTGGTTGCAGGAGACCTCTGTAGCATAGAGAGCAAGCAGATCATCCTGTAGTCATTTCGCCTTGACAAATGAAACAGTCAGCTAACGGTGCTTTGTTGGGCTTGCGGTTTGCATCGCCATTTGTAAGCGGCTGAATAGATTTACCAAACTTGTTTTTGTTCAATTGTTCGGGGGGGGGGGGGCGGGGCGGCCAAAGAATTGCCGCCGAGTAAAGAACAAAATTTTCCCTAATATCACACACTGCGCCTTGACCGCTACTTGATTGCCATTTGGGCAGGCAGTCAGCAATTTGAGGTATTGGTACGGTTACTTTCCTTGGTGTTTGCCTAAAAGCCGTGCGTATAGTCCGTATAGTTGTGAAAAAGGGTCTATTCAACTCTGTCAGGAATCTCGCTGTCTGCTCCCTTGTCATCCATTTTGTGGAAGAAGTTCCCAGCTCCGCCTGGAACCACCGTGGTGTCTTGCCGCATTTAAGGGATGATTGTCACAAAGGGTGGACGACTGCACAGGTCCAGGCGTTTTGCGTGGAACATGCATAAGAGGTCGTGCTTGGCTTATTTGTGAATTCAAGCCAGCACGTTGATATCCAGCACGTTGATATTAATTTGAGATGGGTTCGTGCCAGCCCTAGAGCACACCTTTGGGTCAGTACGTGTTCCAACGCAAGGTGCCGGCACATGTTCCCTTTGCTTCCAATGATGTCCAACACATTTTCATTGTTCCAGGGCGACGTGGTGCGAGGTGCAGGGCCTTGGAGCCAGGCCAGAACCCATCGTCCCGCAGTATGTTAAGCAGTGATAGCAGGTTGTATAGATGGATGGTTGCATCAGCGATTCAAAAGTTTGGAAACATGTCACGCTTCGAACATGTGGCTCATGCTTCACCAACGGAGTCACTAGATTCTGCCGGGGCAGGCACCCACTTCGCCGAGTGCGAAGCGGCTTTCAGATCTTCAAGCCATGCTCAAATGGCTTGAGAGGCTTGCAAGCAATCCTTTTTCGTTTTGTTTTGCATAGGCGTGCAAGCTGATGTACAAAATCTGCGAGGTAATCCGAAATGACTCGCAGCCCCATAAAACCGATTACGTTGCCGGAGTTCAGACCTCAATGTTCAGATGTAGATGATGGAAGGGTCGCAGCCCAGGAATGCACCGGCAGCGAATGGCTCGTGTCCGCCATGGAGCCTGAGCTACAAAAGGATACGTTTTTCTGCATTTGCCGCACCACACAAGTCAAGCAGCACCAGCTAATTGGGCGAGTGCTCCTGAAGATTCTTGACATGCTTGCGGAGGAAGAGCTGAATCTGAACTAAACACTGTCGGTTGGTAAAAACCTGCGTGCAAAATGGAAGCTCGCCAGTGGGCCCTCCAAGGGCTTACACAGTTCCAGTAAAAAAGCAACAAGACAGAAGCCAGCAATGAAGCCAGCAGGTAGCAGAATGACATTCAACATTTGTTGTAATTTGTGTCAAATGATGCAATGCAGCTAGCCTTGCTTCTCAGCACAGGTGGCCGCCCACAGCGCATGCTGCTGTTTGTGCGGCCCTGCTCCAGAAAGCTGGGTCTACACCCAGCCATTTTGGCTGCAATTGCGTTGGTTTGTGGGCTACACATGTGTGTAGGTTGTTGGCGTTTTTTCTTCAGCTGCTCGCGTCATATCTTACCAACTCCAGAACATGAAGGTGCAGCCCTCCAATCCTTCTTCGCTCAGGCGGGCGCTGTGATGTGCAAAGCATGCACTGTGAGGAGACCTTGGTTTCAGGGGCAATGTATGTCTAGAGGCAACAGCTTTCAGAGTCAAGCTGTACTGTTTGACTTACGGCAGCCCGGGCTGTAATTAGAAAGTGACTGCAGCGAACAGGCACATGGGGGGACTGCATTTGAATTTAAAGGGCGCGTTCGCCGCTCTATCCCAAGATTGTGCACTTTGTGAGGCCAAGCTCCATGAAACTGAGCCCAGATATTCACTGTACTGTAATTGCCCTGCAGCGGCACAAACAGCAACCGCAACACCCCTGGAGGCATCACGCCCATGCTTCAAAGCCACAATGTCTCCAGTTCAGATATCCAAACCTGTCATGTGCCTTGGTGGATGTAATCTTGAGAATTTCCATGTGTGCAACGTTATTTTGCATGTTGGATGAGGTGTTAGCAGGAGGTTTGGGGGGGGCGGGACGGACCACAAATTTGCAGTAATGATGCCGGTGTGATGCTGAGTTGTTCGCATGGTAGCGTTGCTCTGTGGTTGCAAACAAGGAGTGTTGAAAGCGCTGAAGTGGAAGCCGCGCAGGCATGGCCAAATTACGTCAAATTGCCAGACTATGAATTCAGGGTGTCCATGTGCTCCGACTCATGCAAGAAGTATGAGGATAACAGGTGATGACAGGCAGTTCAAGTTCGTATCCTGCAGTATGGGCAAGTTCGTGCGTTGAAATGAGGACACCATTGTTGCATCACTGGGCGCTGACGAGATGAGATGCATGCACTTGGCAGACGTCGCCAGCTCGGCAGAAGTGTCCCTGTGCAGGGGTTCTCCTGTAGCTGCAGAGTACTGGCAATTGTCAGTTTCGACACGTTCACTGTGAATAGATGGAACTACAAATGCATGAAAAGCTTGCGCGCTGCGCTTCAGCCGCTAGTGCTCGAAGAGTCGCAGCTCCAAGCGTTGCTTCCCGGCAAATTGCTGCAGATTTTCATTCCTTCGAGCAATCGAAATGGCGCGCACCATGGGATTGGTGACTTGAGTGATACATTAAGAGCTGTTTGGTGAAGCATGAGAAGTTTGTCATTTGCGGTGCCAAGGATTGAGACATGTTGAGACATCACTGAGGCAGTGCTGGCTGTGGCGGTGATGTGCTTCGTGGGGAAGTTGGCCTTCACTCCCTCCTTGCCCGCAGGGCTCGGGCGCTCCGCGAAAATGGGTGAGGCACCAAACCTATCGCGCAAAAAGAGCAATTTCGCAAGCCTATGCTGCAACTTAAAGGGCAGCCGTACAGCCGAGACATTCAACAAGCAACAAGCTGGTCCTCAGACATTCAAACAGCCGTGGCTATAGTGTGCTGATGTTCCTCTAAAAGCTTACATGCTTTACTTGTACGAATCTTCACCTAACATGAGTTCCTCACAGGCGCAAGTGCCTGCAGTGAGGTAGACTCCGTTTTTATGTAGATGGAGGCAGCCCGGCAGCGCAGCCTCATGCAGCGCTCTGCTGACGGATCCTACCTGAACGGTTACGGGCCGGCCGTCGCCTACGCCAAGGCGGGTAGCAGTACTCCTTCATGGAGACTTTAGAAGCAGGCGAATGGTTCTTAGAGAACAAAGCAGAAAAAGTCAGAGGCATTTATCACAGTGGTACTAGAAGGTACGAAGAGTGAAGTGCGATTTCCATGCCGATGTGTTCTCCACTGTCACCAACCACGGCTTTAGCAGCAACATTGGGCTTCGTGTCAGCGGCAACACCTCAACCGTGTTACAGCAAAGCTTGAAATCTTTCGTCGAGGCGCTCCGGGAAGCCGCACAGGCCAAGGGCGAGGACGGAAGACTTACGAGCAGGCGATTCGTGTCATTCAATTGCTACTAATAGTACTGCGAGGCCGCAACGGTGATGGAGGATGTCATGAAGATCAAGGCTTTTTACGAAGATGAGGCATTCCAAATAGCAGAGAAGCTTGCTGTCTTCTTTGTTTTGGTGCTAAGCTTGCAGCATCGTATCAACCTTCCTGTTGCGCAGTCCATCATCGAGGATTTGAGCTTGGTGCAGAATGCCGCTGGGTCACACTGAAGTGCCGCTAAGGGTCCACGACAGCGGAATGGGGTGGAGCTAGGTTACCCTGCTCGGTTCCTGCTTTTGATTTTGCTGCTTACGCAAAAAATCACACGCCTGCTTCCTTCCAAAGGACTTCAACTTGACTTCGGTTGAGCGTGCTGACAAGATCCTTGCTATGGTGAAGCCTTTGAAGTCCACCGTCCCAGCCTCAGCATTTGTACGAGATCGAGCTTAGACGCTGACATCCTTCTGCCTTGCCCTGCCGCTTGCTTTTTTGACTCCCCGGAACTGTCTGGCCAGTGATCAGTTTTGTCGCCCTTGCAAGTCGGATGATCGCTAGCCAAGCTTAAAGGGCTGAATAGTCTCAGCTCGTCAGCGTCAAGCTTGGCAGCCTGGACCACCCAAACTACATAACGGCTTCTTCCCGTGAAAGTCATATGTCCCAGACAAGGTAATGCCAAAGTTTGTCACCTTCATTGCCAAGCAGCTCGGAGGCAAACAGCACTTGCGTCGCCGATTGTGTTAACACTTTTTTCCAGAGCTTAGCTGGCAGAAATACAGCTAGCCCATGTACCCATGGAACAATCGAACGTTTACCTCGTGAACTTGCTATGCAAGCGCGATGTTGGAAGCTGCGGCTTACGGAGCTATGCACACCGAGGTATTCGCATTAGCTACGTCCAAACTCCGCGTATTAGTTGTTTATAAGAAAAGAATAAATAGAATGATGAGGATCATCTTTGCCTCTTCGACAAGAAGGAAATCGCAAAACTAGCTCCGCCGTAGAAGCATTCTGCAAACCCGACAATTCCAGTAGAAATCTGCTGTGTAACAGCAGCCCCATTTTTCTCTTTACAAATGATGCGGCACGCCGCGAAAACCACATTTTAGACCATTTCAGGAACATTCATTTCGGAAACAGCCCAAATGGTATCCTGTTTGTCGGCATGTGTTGAAGCAAATTTGTAATGTAATCGTACATGCGCGCGCTGCCAAGGAAGATGCGCCTCAAGGCATTGAAGCCCATTTGCCTCGAGTACGTCCAGGCCGCATTCTTCAAGGAGATTGGGAGATTCGCTGTTCCGTGAGCATGAAAAAGAGCACGCGAAAGTGCAACAACATGTCGTCAAGATGTCGAAATCGTATTTAGAGTCTGCATTTAGCAGTTGCAGATGCGTGAGGAGTCTGTTGCCCCAGTGAGGGTCACGTCTGCTGTGCGTAACCTGGCTGCTTCCTATGCTGCCCAATTCATGGTCATGAGTAGAGAGTGTGCTCAGGCCCCAGGTCCAGTCTGCACGTACATGCAGTGGGCTCAGGTCTGTCGGAGGAGCAGAAGAACAAGATCATCGACAAGATGAAGGTGAAGTGCGAGACCGACAGCATCAAGCTTATCGAGGCAGCTGACGCATGAGCCTGCTGCAGCAAAATCCACTCAGTCATGTAAGTCATCAGGAGGGCCGCAACTTGAGAGCGAGCATACACTGAACATTAGATATGGATGGCGTGAATGCAAGACCGTGCGGATTAGCTGGAAGTTGCTGCATGATACCGCTGCTTCGTAGTCCAACTCATTCAGCGCTTTAGCATCCATCAGCCTGACAGGAGGTGGATGCGAACCTCATCAGCGGCTTCAAGTTGGAGTGGGGTCTCCTCGACTGCAAGAATCAGTGCTGGACCAATACTTATGCAGCAACGGACGGATCAAACCACATTGTTTTTTTCTGCTTGCTTGCAGGAATCAATGCCCCAAGGGATTCACACCAGTAGTCCCATGAAGCTTAGACCCCTGGACCTCAAGTTCTCAGCATGTTGGCGTACAGCCACATGTGTTTCAGCATGCAAGCCAAGGCTTCATTGATCCTGTGAACCTCGATGCTCCCAGCAACGGCGTGGACCTCACACTGCGGTCCCTCGGTTTGAAGACTATCCTTTCACCGTCACCGTCCCCAACTGCACATGCACGACCGAGAGCCGTGGCAGGCTTGTGAAGCCCCAAAAACATAAAGCCCACAGTCGCTCAGGAACATCCTGAACAAGAAGGCCCTTCAGGTGGGAGGTCTCGTGGATGCGCTCTAAGCGGTTATATCACTTGGCGGATGGACACCGAGATCTGAGAGGCTCGGGGGCAGTGTCTGCCCAAAGTGAGGCCTTCCCCATCTTGCTACTAAGAAGACGTTCACAAGTCGTGCAGCGTTCCCACCATGCAAGCACACAATACACATCATAGATCTACATGCGGGCTGGCTGAACAATCATTTAGATCCAAAAGCCGCTGGCTGTAAGGCCGCACTTTGCGGGGAGCAGGCTTTCACCAATGAAAAAGGGTAATTACACTGAAAAACCCTTAGAGAGCCGGAGGTTTTCCTACTCAGTTCTCCTGGATACTCTTGGAGGAGGTTTTTGGCGCGCCCGAGTACCAAAAAGGCTGCCGTACCCAGATGCGGTCATGCTTCTCCAAGGCTTGCTTTGAGTTAAATTCGCAATTGGGTAGCACCTGGTCAACCTTGATTGATCTTAATTGGTTCTTGAGTTCTTGTAGCACCTGCACCTCGTCAACCTTGATTGGTTCTTAAGTTCTTGAGCAATGCTGACGCTGTTTGGCCTCCTCTCCCTGCAGTTGCAAGAACCTGTATGCCCAAGGTTTGTCTCGCCAACAGTGCAGCCCTTCGAGAATCTGAGCTGCTTCGCAGCATCAACCAGACCCGACTACCCTCACATTTGTTAGAGTCTCTAACTTGAAGACCATGTGAAACCATGTTCCAGCAAAGGTGCTGGACATCCAGTTGTGTTGTATCACCGGCCAGAACGTGCTAGCAAAGTTGAGGCTCTTCGCCGGCGCAGCTGGTGCAGCCAGCTTTGCAGCGGGCCTGGCCATGTGCGTTGGAATCCCAGTTGTCGCCGGCAAATCTTCCTGTAACATAAAATTGCCACAACAGAGGCATGGCCCAAGCCGGGGTGTGTTGGCAGGGCTTTCAGGAGTCTGCGTAGGCTTTGTGCGCTGAGGTTGACCACTGGCCGCAGACGATGTTAAGCAATTCTGTCAGCTGCGCAAAACGTTCTGCCAGTGGCGAGGCAGCCCGTTCAGCCCTTGGGATGTTGTGCGCTATGACGATTATAGGATGTTCCTGCTCTTTGCGGGCGTTTGTCTTGCGTGAGGCCCACTTACCCAGCATCAAACAGCCCGAGTTCTGATTGCAGGTTGCTGTGGTGCTTCTTACGTGTGCTGATGCAGACTTGGCACCGCGCTTGGCAGAGCTGGCGCTCCGACGTGAGTAGGATGAATGACACCTGTGTGGACCCGCATTTGCTCCATTATTGGGTGGCTGTTTTGATTTGAGATTGGCAGAATTAGGCTGCACAGAATGGAGGGCATGATGCATTCAAAAGTTGTTGTTTGCACTAGTCTCTTATTTGCAGGCTTTTCCGATCCTTACCAAGGGCAGCCTGCACATGTTCCTCATGACTTGCCCTTGTGATTCGGGCTGGCAGGGCGTCTGTTTGTCGTATCCTGCCCGCAGAATCCACCCCAGGAGAAGTCTCAGAATTCAATATTTTCCTGAGGCGGAGTGCCAATGGCTTTCCTGCCGAATTTTCTGCAGACTGCATTTGCACAGCATTGGAACCAAACGTTTTTGGGGTTTCTTCCGAGAAGGGTTTGACTTGTGTAATTGCACCTTGCAGACTTATTCCGAAATCGCTTCGGAGCCGGATCCGGATCTGGGTGTGCAATTCCAGGCATATCGACCACAAAGTTCATCCTCTGAATGTGGGCGAACGCGTCCGAAGCGCAGGTTCTAAAAGTGCAAGGGTAGTGGTTCGTACCATTGAAGCGTCTTTGTTACTCTGATGAAGTGTGAGATGTCGTCTAGTAAACAGAAGGCAAAACACGGACCAGGGTTTGCAGATGCAGGAGATGCAGGTTCGCCGCGTTCTCCGAGCTTGCTGGCTTGACACACTAGATATGTGTGTTCTCATGACATGGCCTGCAGGAATCCAAAGGAATTGCCTGTTGGGTTGGGAAGATACTGGCTCATGACCAGAGCGAGACATGTAGGCATCAAGCCCCAGAGGATGCGAAAGACAATTATTTGTAATAAGTAAACCTCAGCTGCCGTGATTGACTTTGACATGTTCGTAAATTTCTGGGCAGCGCAGCGAGCGCGCCACTAGTAGTCAGCCATGCCTGAGGATCGGCGGGCCCTGCGGGAGGCATCCATGGGTTTGCATCTTACAAGCCAGCCGTCTGAGCTGCAGGTTAACCACGCTGAACCTCCAAATCATGCACGCATGCGGCCGCACATGCATTTCGCATGGATATGCTGAAACCTCAAGCTGCCCTTGACAGTCTCTCAAACGACAACGCGAGCGTGTGATCTTGGTTGGCTTCGACTTTGCCTGGAAGCCCGGGATAGATTTCGCAGAGACATTGGGAGCTGCAGTTCTAGCCTACAGTGCCAGAAGCTGTCGGATTGTTAAAGTGAGGCAGGTGGACATTCTGGTGTTGGAGGAAATCTTGCACCACTGAAACCCTGAAATACGGCAACTCCTCGAATTGGTGGGGCTTTCGCAGGGTAGAGCATGTCTTGGTCGAAGACTTTATTTGGGTTGGAGCGAGCCATGCACGCTGAGGACTGTACGCTGACAATACGGCACTTCTACAAGGCCATTTGCGAAGCATCCACTGTTAGACGAAGCCCCAACATAAACCCTGAAGCGTGCAGCTACCGGCCTGAAATGTGCAAACAGCTTCAGGTGTTCCAGCAGTCTAGCAGATATGATGTGATACGACGAGAAGCAGGGGGTCAGGTTGCTGGGATTCCGACCACGTTTCCCCTGCTCAGGTGTTTGCCTGGTGTGTTCCGTATTCGACACAAGCACATCCGCACTACGAGGCAGAGGAATGCTCGACAGCCAAATCTGCAGTTCAGACCTGTCCTGTCGGCTCCTATACAGCCTGCAACCTTCAAGATTCTTTTCGTTCATGATCGTCCCCTTTTTCGCAATGTGCATTCACCGCGCATGCTTCTACAGGCCTTCGTTGACTGGTGCGACGAGCATGATGTGGACCTCAGCGAGGCGCTTGCTTTGTAGCGCGATGAATTCCTGCGGGCTTGGCAGCACGTGATGGTCAAGGTTGGCTTGGCTTTCCGTTGTACTGGAGACTCTGCTTGTTTGCCTATGAACATGCAACCATTCGAGGATACGAGATACATCCGCGGCATAAGTAATATGTGGTCAAAATACTCATCGGAATTGCAGGCACACTCCACGTTCAGGGTCCGGGCTGATTGCTCTCAAGAGCCGCAAATTTTAAGGAAGACCAACAAGCTCGAAATGGCAAAAGGAAGCTTTTCATCATCCTTGCAGGTGCACTTCCAGACATCCCCAGGAAGGGGCGTGGAGCCTGACGTTGGCCTGTCCATGTTTAGCCAGCCAGGGCCCCGTGTTGGCCTTGCAAGCTGCGACTGAGCGTGCAAGAGTTCTGCTGAATTCTCTGAGCCACTGCTGCATCTCTCCAAGGGCCTTTGGAGAAGATAAATTGCGCGAACTCCTGCGTGAGGCTGGGCTCAGGGAGATTGCTGGCTCGCTTCGTGTGGTGGCAAATCAATTTCACGCATAAGCTGCAGATACGGAGCTGTTGACTTCACAGGTATGATATAGATTTGTGAGTGTTTTTTTTGTTTGAAGTCTGAGCGCGTGCGATTGCTACGTTATACTCCTTCAGAAGACTAGAAAGATTTCCTATGCTGTGCTTGCGAATACTCACGAAAGCCTGCTGGAGGTCTTCTTTGGTGGTGCCGAGCGCATCGGCGCCGTAGCAAGCTGGTGCCACCTTGTTTCGAGATGCTTGCTTTCCGTCACATATTCCTTCACTGGCTGTTGCAGGCTGCAGCATTTGCGCGCTTCTGGCGCGGAGTGGCTTGATTGAATCAAGTTTTCCAAAGCGTGACCTGTTGGTTCTTCAGCCCCCAGCATACGTCCCTTCTCCTTGAAGCTGTGGAGACTTCCACCTCTTATGCCCCATGAGCCCGGAAGCTCAAAGCTTGAAGAATTTGGCCGAATCCATGGCCCAGGTTTGCTGTCGTTACAGCAGGGATCTCCACCTCAGTCCTTCGGGTCTTGAACGCCGTGCCCGAGTGGCAGATACTGCCTCAGTTTTCTCCAGCATTCGTCATTTATCATTCGTGCTCCAATTTCCCGCATGAATCGGGCTTCGTAGACCTGCGTGGTAAGGCCGTTCTTCCCTAGCGACCGCATTTGGGACGTCTCGCAGTCGCGGCACAGCGTGCAGCCAGGGCCTTTGCTTCCTCTGAGTTTGCAAGGACTTGAGAGCCTCCACAAGGCTTGGTATTGCAACTGATTTAGAGAGGATGTTCTGATTGACGCAGCTACCCAAGCATTCGCGACACTAGCAAGAGGCCCCTGCGCTCCAGCTGTGTCATTCACAGTTTAGGATGAGTTTGGCATGCCCTCCAGCTGCGGCTAAGGTCAGTTTCAACGAGCAAAACCCTCATGCTTCGGGACATTTGCCCTAAGGCGTCGCAGGCCCAGTGCAAGCATGACACGATGTGACACGTGCAGAGGCTGTCATGATGCAAATCTTGGCATCACTGGCTGGGCGGTGTATGTAGGGTACATATGCAGGCAACTCTAGCAGCGGCTGTGCGGTTGCGCTTGCCACTTCCTATTTCAGCCTGCCACAACCTATGACCCAAGGTTTGACCCAGATTCTGGTCATCATGAGAAGCTGGGATAGCTTGTGTCTACAGAACTCCACATCATTAAGTTGGCGTTTGACTTTTCTGCCAAGGGATGCCAATGGATCCATACATTGGTCATGCATTCAAATCGCCAGTTGGGCAGGCAACTCTAGCAGGGCCGAGTGCTTGATCAAGAGCCGGCTCTTCCTATTCGAGCCTGCAAGACAAAGGGCTGGCGTTTGACCCGGCTGCTCAAGTGTTTCGAGCTGCTGGGATAGAGCCAAGCCTACATGAACAGTCACGCTAGGAAGCTCTTGGCTTGCATTCAAAATACGGTGTTGCCTTGGTAGGCAACCTCGTGCCTGCTAGCATGGA